AAGACCCAGCATGCTGCAGCAGTAAGTTTGAACTTGTTCATTGTAAACCGTGCTTTACTACTGTGTGGTTTCATGACGGCGTAGTATCGCTCGATGGAGATGGCAACGAGGGTGTAGACTGAACACAGGGCACCCACCCAGGTGAACACCTCACCTGTCAGCAATTTACATACGTATGTTCCAGTAACTCCTGTCGGATGGGTGTACAAACGACTTAAGATGTACCTGATTGACAAATTTGGGCATTAGCTACCAAATATGGACATGAATTACCAAATTTGGAAATTAATAATTATATATGGCAAACAGGTTTCCAAATACGGAAATTAGTTTCCATATATGGACATTTAGTGACCAGATTTGGAAAGTACATTCTGAACATGGCATTAAGAAGCAAAAATGAAACAAAAGCTGTCAAACATAGATATAAGTTGTTTCTAAAAGATAGCAATACCTTGGTGCAATGAATATTGCCACAGTGATGTCAGCAACGGCTAGATTTACTAGCAAGTAATTCATAGGTGTTCTCATTGCCGGAGTCTTGAATACAGTGAGAATAACTAACGTATTTCCAATCAAATCAGTAAATATCATGACGATAAAACCCACTGTTAGTCCATTTTGAGTGGCTTCTGACATCGACATGGCTCTGAAACAAAGAGGTTACGAGTTACTTGTTTGTGGTCTGTTGAGGAGTTCCATGAGAAGTCTACTTATTGTTCAGTGACTGTGTTTGCGAGTTTTCTGTTTTCAGTTATGTCTACCTCGACCTATCTCGAGTTTTGTGTGCATCTGTTATTGTAGTTATTAACCGACAGCCTTAATTTTTTAGTTTCTCGTTTTCTGTGTCTTTGTAAACTTGTTTCGTGTCTGCATGTTTGTCATTGTTTAATATCTTGGTATTATGTCAATCTATCTTAACATAGACTGCATGCATATCCGCCCCAGCGGCTACCGCGACTTATTGGAAACCCTCTTAATTGCACCGCCCTCATCAATTTTATTTTTAAATTTCCGGGTCCTTATTTATTAGAATCTCAAATGGACGACAAACTAAGTCAGACTCAAGAAAAGAAAAGGTACAGGTTTCAGCACAAGTAGGTTTGGTTTAACCAGCTGTGTTCACTTGTCCAGTGATACAGTGTATTTAATCAAGAATCGACTCAGTTCCTTAGAAAAACTCATCAAATCTACGTGATTAAAGTAGTTTTTTTATGAAACAAAAAAAAATCGGACATGGATTGCCTGGTTTTGCTATCTGTTCTGTAATGTTGTTGCATCATGATCGGCAAAACAAGAGCAAAACAATTTTTTTTGTACAACGAGTAAAAGTATTCATATGTGAAATAGAATAATATAGTTTTAAACCCTGTGGTTCTCTAGTTAGTGATTCTGCTGCAAAATACTATTTTTTTAATGATTAAATTTTTACGTCAGGTGCAGATTACTACTGGGCAACTGGCAGAACTAAAATAGCCTCACAAATCTTAATCATTAAATGGTAAGTTTTTTCTTTCCTTTTTCAGCTAAATTTCCTCAGCTGTATTTGTGTTTCTATTTCATTCTATTTGAAAACTATATTTCTACCATTGAAAGCCCTTTGCATTACCCTAAACTATCCCTGGTTTTAAGCTAATATTCTCGTAGTCTATCTGATTTAGACATCGTACCTGATGTTGTAGATGCTCAAGCCAAGATAAGACTGTCTGTTCAGGCCCTTGTAGTCCTCTATTGTCCAATATCACATGTACACATAGCTTCAAAATATACTAAAAACTAAACGTAGAGTCAATACACCAAGCATGCTATTGGTTAAATAAGATAACATTACTTGTCACTGACAGCCAATCAGAAGTTGAGATGATATTTACTGAAAACCAATGACTGACGTTCTGAACGAACACTTAATTAAACACTTGATTTTTTAATTTTGGAGCAAATCTCCCTGTACACTATTTTTCAGAGGTGATTGCATGAGATGGAGTGCTCATGACAAGTGATTACGTCACAAACTATTTTTTTCAAAATTATGGCGTTCGCTACCCTAGTCTGAAAGGTCATGATGGCATATAGTTTTTTTACGACATTTCAGTGCCTTGAATGTCAAAATTTACGCGGTTTCGCTTATTTCTAAAATTTATATTGTACGTTAACACTGACCAGCGGTCGACCCCTACTCAACTATACCGAATTGGCGTATGGGTGACAGCACCTTTATCGCAGTAACAATGGCCGTAGCCTTACCCTTCACATTTTGCGCAAGTATAACGAGTATAAGAGTCGCTATTTTGTCAAAGATGTTAACACTCGGTTGTGATCATTGTTGAGAGACTTCTATTTACAATCCATTGTGGTCTGGTCGCGTAGGCCTGAGACTGAGCTCGTAAATGTTTTAATGCCGAGGAAGGCTGTAAGACACACGAAAAGGTGTTAATTACAATACTGTTTAGTAGTGTTCAACTTCATTGTTTTCTTGTGTGCCTTTTTGACAGATTCTAATATAAGCATTCTTTGTAAATTAGGTAAAACTCTTCAGTTGTACATCCTGGTCGCAATATCACAAAAACTGACACCGTTTATTTCATTCAAAACCGGCCGACTCATATCCTGAAACATATACACTATTTGCTATGTCAGTGGCATGCTTCTTTAGGGGCTCCAGGTTTCTTGTATATTTGTGTAAGATTATTTGCGCACTTCGCCGCAGCCGGACATGTGACAAAGAAGGTTATAACATAATGATTGATCGCTGTAAAATAATTAGAATTAAGCTTTTTTGCCAATAATCCGACACCATATAGAGAATATTATCTGTATTGGTCATTTGTATTGGTCATTCTTTTTATTTGCAGGTGAGACAGAAAGATCAGAAAAGGGAGCGAGAAAAAAAA